CGCGGTCATGCTACACTGGCCGGAGCCCGGAGCCGGGGCAAGGGGGATAGATACGCGACGCGGCTGCGTGCGTCATGCGCGGACGTTGGGAGAAGCCTTTTCCGCCGCACCCACAGCCCATGCTACCGTGGACTCCCAGTGCGGCGTGGGCCCCCCGTGGCCCCGGGAGCCCTGCAGGCGGCCAGGCCTCCACTACTGTGGAATGTGGATGTGCAAGGAAAGATAACAGTCAGGACGGAGCAGCCAACAACATTACAGGAGCGACGGAGCGAGGAGGAGTACTGTCACCGTGCTGTGCACCGGCTTGGCACGGAAAAGGAGCGGGAACGTGGTAGGTAACGGGCGATTAATAAGCAAGCAACAGCTAAACTTTGCTGGTGACGGGGCAATGCATGCATCATCATGCATGGTCCTAGACGCCGGGGGGTTGCCCGTTGCCTTGTCCGGTTTCTTGCCACTCAAAGACAGCAACGCAGCGCATTACTAATCTGTTTTCGCGCGCGGCGAAATGGCTGCAGCTGGAGTTTAATGTTAGGAGGCTTTGGGATGGCGACGTGCTTGGTTGGTTTGTGGACGTGGGATGGGGATGGACGCTTTGCGGAGGGTGGTTTTACGAGCCATTACTCGCGTCTGGTGAGAGATTTATCACAGGGAGGGCGACGTATCTACGTGAGGCTAGCCGGAACAGTTGGGCTGGAGCCGTCCAGGTATGGTTTGACCGTGTGTATTTATTTGTTCCGTGTCGCGTGGCCACCGGTCGTCCAGTCCTGACCTGTGGCGTGGCGTCGGATAGGTGTGTGTGCGCCCCCACCGCGCCCGCTGCTTCCACCTGCCACCGCCAGTGTGGCGCGTACCCCTACATGCATGGTGTCCAACGAGGCACCAGCTATACAGAAGAACGCAACGCAACGTCCTCCTCTCCTTGTTGACCGTTTGTCCGGTTGCGTCCTGCGCGAGTGCTGCTCCAGCGGCATTGTGGCATCCAAGGCGGTAGCGAGCTCCTTCTCCAGGCTCCAGTCTGACGATAGCTAACGTGATCAACCTAATACAAGTGCATAACCAATGACAGTGTGCCATTATAATATTGCTACGTACTTTATCTCGGAGCTGAGCTACCGTTGCGTATCTGCCAACCAACAAAAAAAGGATCACGCACGCGTCAATGACTATAACAAACTAATACTGGTAGTAGTAGCAGCAGCATAGAGTACTATAGCTCACACAACAGCGTTAGCGTTAGAGTATTGTACTCGCATAACAGCGCCGCCCGCACCGAAAGTGGCAAGGCGGTATTCACAAACCATAAAGAATAATGGCCGCGCGCAAAGCGGCACACGACAGGACTAAGGGCGACCTCAATGTCAAATTATAAATAGCTACCTAGATGAGGCGTATAAATAATAAATAAAAAACGTTGTAGTGGAGAGTTACGTGAGCCGTGAGAGAGTTGTTTATGAAAGATCATGCTAAACTAGTTATTTGTGAGTCGTTAGATATTGATACCTCTCCTTAATAGCTAATAAAATTCTTTATAGACTAGCTATTTTGGAATCTTTAGCACGCCCTAACGTGCAATGCCCCAACACGACAGGGCAGTGGCGGGCCCCTTTTTTCATGTGCGCCGCACCCCAAGAACAAGGCACACATGCTCGTGCCTGCGCGCCGCGTCAAAGCTCCCGTGGCTTGGAAACAGGCCGCTACAGCTACAGGCCGCCGCGCGCTCGGGGTGTCACGCAGTCACGCTCACCCGCCAGCCAACAGCGGCCACCCACCACACCAGCCACCTGTTCCCTTGGCCGTTTCGGCGCCATCCGCCGGCTGGCGGATGCAGATGCAGAAGGCAGTGGCCGAAGGCGCGCGCTGTTCGGCCTGTGACTCTGTGAGAGGCCGTGTCGTCCTGGGACGCGCGCCTGTTGCGTCCTGGCGTACGTGAACCGATGGAGAACGTGAAACTGTTGCCTTGTCAACGAGAGCCGCGCGTGCGCTAATTGTTGGGTTTCACGGGCGCGCATAGGGACTAGGGAGCTAGAAAAGGTCCTGTCTGCGCCAGAACACAACAGTTCCATTTCGATTAGGCGCGTGTTTAGTTTGAAGCCAAAATCCCAAAAAAGTGCTACAGTATCTGTTACATCGAATATTTGCAGTCCATGCATGGAGCATTAAATGTAGAGGAAAAAAAAACTAATTGCACAGTTTGGTGGAAAATTACGAGACGAACATTTTGAGTCTAATTAATCCATATTTGAATACTATTTGCCAAATAAAAACGAACGTGCTACAATAGCCCCAAATTCCAAATTCCTACAACTAAACACAGCCTCGGATGGTCTTGCACGGGACCGGCCGTCTGGGCTCACGTCAGCCGCATTCGTACATGAACGCCACAATTTGCTGACATATACTATCAGCGACGACGTCCGCGCGCTAGGCGACGACACGAACAATGCATGCAGGCGCCGTAATGTTCCTGAATCCAGGTGGTTAACCTAATAAGAAGCCAGAAACAACAGTGCTTCTGGTATTTGGTTTAGGGAATCGACGAAACAATACAGCATACTTTTCTTTCTACCCGGACCCAGCCCCCGGGGGACTCCAGGTCTCGTCTCGACCTAAAGCAGCGCCGACGCCTTCCACCTCTGTTGGTCCCCCTCCCTTTCCCTCCGCTATCTCGCCGGAGGCGAAAGGGAGTGGAGATCCATTATTTTCATAAGTTTTTTAATAGATCGAGTCTTTAGGGTTAGGGTCTTTCCATGCTAAATTTGTTGGTATTAGGGCGACATCTCCTCCTCTTCGGCGACGCTAAAGGGGAAGAGTGGAATTGTTTTCTCCATGACGGCGTCAGCAACTTTACTATCTTGACGACATAGAGACCTTTCTTTCTGGACGACGACATCAAGGTGGAGATGATATCGCCGCCATGGAATAATTTTTTCTGGTCTCTTCTCCGTTTTGTTGTGGTTAGATCTGGCCACGATGAAGGACTAGGAAGAATAATTTTTAGATCAGTCTTCCTCATTCTTCGGTGGCAGCCAGAAGAAGGAAGACACCAGAAAGACGAAGTTCTCAACTCCGCCTACATAGATGTTGGCCGTCGTTCGTTGGACATCTGTTCTCAGATTTTTTGCCGAGTGTTTGCCTGTCCGGTCATCCATACTGCAAAGCGTCGTATATGTTTGGTTTTGAGATTCGGAGCTATTCACAGTGTGGTTACAATTTAGATGAAAATCAGTTTCTAAATATTTGTGTAATTTAGAGTACTCGTAACGTATTGATATACCCAGCTATTATCTTATATAATTCTTCTTTCATAAAAAAAAAATACAACAATTTTTTTACGCGAAAGAATGGAAGCATTGAGGCGCCACAGCTACATGCCGGAAATTCACATCGGCATCCAACAGTCAACACCTCGTGCCAGTGGCAGTCTGATACATCGGGGCACACACAGTTTTTTTTTAGCAGAACACACACAGGTGATTGGTGTGGTGTGGTGGAGCCGGAAGCCCTGTGCGCCAACAGTGCCAACGCCCAACTGGCAACGGCCGAGGGAAAGCTCGAAACAGGGCCCCCGCGTCGCAGAACCGTGGCTGGTATAGGCCGGATTCCGGGCTCACCATCCGTCCCCATGGGCCCTCACAGCACCGTATGGGCTTAGGATCACACCATATGGGCCTTGTCATTAGAAAGACGGCCCGGCCGGGATGGAAGAGACCGGATCCTCCTCGTGAGTTCCGGAAGCCAGCCACGAGCGACCACCGACGCGGAGGATACTCGAGGTCCAAGTCCAACCCGCCGGGCGGGCTGGGCCAACTGGCTAACCTTAACCACCAAGGCACGCCAAGGCCCGCTTCTCCCACCCGACATAAATACCCTCCCATCCACGGATCCACCCTACAAGGCTCAGCGCATCAGACCAGATTCCAATCAATCACCCAAGTTCTCCCCAAATCTGCTCCTCGTCTCCCGTCTCGCGGTTTCCTCGCCCTGGAATCTAGGGTTTCGGGTGATTTGATCGATCGCGATCTGTGATTTCGTTGCGCCTTGTGTATGCTTGGAGTAATCTAGGCTTGTATGCGGCGTCGCGGCGTCGGCGCTTGCGGTTTAATCGCGCGATCTGACGCGGTTGCTTTGTCGAGGCTGGGGTCTGTTAGGTTGTGATTTTAGAATCAAATAAATCTGTTGCTTACCGTAGGTGTTTCCTACATGTTCTGTCCAGTGCTATGTTCACATTGTTTTGACATTTGATTTTTGCTGATCAGTCCTGGCAAAAATATATCTATAGACCGTGTGATATGGCTCCTTTGTTCTATGGGTGCTTTATTTTCCTGAATAACAGTAATGCGAGACTAGTCTATGGGTGCTTTATTTAATGCGAGACTAGTTATTTGATCATGGTGCAGTTCCTAGTGATTAGGAACAGCAATTTGGTAGCTCTGTTCATTCAGCATTGCCTCTACGATCCTATCATTGACTAGTTATTTGATCATGGTGCAGTTCCTAGTGATTAGGAACATCAATTTGGTAGCTCTGTTCATTCAGCATTGGTTTATACGATCCTATCATTTTACTTCTGAATGAATTTATTATGTGCAAATGAAGCTTGTTTAAGTTATTACAGTGCAATACACTGCTGTATAATATCAATAACAAACTGCTATTACTAATCCATGCCTAGATTCATAATAATCCATTATTCTACTTGAAAATGATCTAGGCCTTTTTACGTGGTCCTACATATCCTTCCACTGACTTGCTGTTCGTTTTTTTGTAATCCCTCACTGGGATGCAGAACGGTTCATCTGTATTAATGATATTTTTGCATGTATATAAGTCTATAGTTCTCATTATTCATGTGGCTATGGTAGCCTGTAAAATATATTGTAATAGCATATTAGTCAGCCATACATCTGTTCCAACTTGCTCAATTGCAAATCATATCTTCACTTAAAGCACATGTTTGCAAGCTTTCTGACATTTTTCTATCTGTTTGATTGAAACAGATGCAGATCTTTGTTAAGACCCTGACCGGCAAGACCATCACTCTCGAGGTCGAGAGTTCAGACACCATCGACAATGTTAAAGCCAAGATCCAGGACAAGGAGGGCATCCCCCCGGACCAGCAGAGGCTCATCTTTGCTGGCAAACAGCTAGAGGATGGCCGCACCCTGGCTGACTACAATATTCAGAAGGAGTCTACCCTCCATCTTGTCCTGCGCTTGAGGGGTGGCATGCAGATCTTTGTTAAAACTCTTACAGGCAAGACAATTACACTGGAGGTTGAGAGCTCTGACACCATCGACAATGTCAAGGCCAAGATTCAGGATAAGGAGGGCACTCCCCCGGATCAGCAGAGGCTCATCTTTGCTGGAAAGCAGCTAGAGGATGGTCGCACCCTGGCTGACTACAACATCCAGAAGGAGTCTACCCTCCACCTTGTCTTGCGCCTGAGGGGTGGCATGCAGATCTTTGTCAAGACATTAACTGGCAAGACAATCACACTGGAGGTTGAGAGTTCTGACACTATCGACAATGTCAAGGCCAAGATTCATGATAAGGAGGGTATTCCGCCGGACCAGCAGAGGCTCATCTTTGCTGGCAAGCAGCTCGAGGATGGCCGCACCCTGGCTGACTATAATATCCAGAAGGAGTCTACCCTGCATCTGGTCTTACGCCTCCGAGGAGGGATGCAGATCTTTGTGAAGACACTTACTGGGAAGACTATCACACTTGAGGTTGAGAGCTCCGACACAATTGACAATGTCAAGGCGAAGATCCAGGATAAGGAGGGCATCCCACCTGACCAATAGAGGCTCATCTTTGCTGGGAAGCAGCTGGAGGATGGGCGCACATTGGCTGATTACAATATCCAGAAGGAATCCACCCTTCATCTTGTCCTGCGTCTCAGAGGAGGGATGCAGATCTTCGTCAAGACCTTGACTGGCAAGACCATCACACTCGAGGTGGAGAGCTCTAACACAATTGACAATGTCAAGGCAAAAATTCAGGACAAGGAGGGCATCCCACCGGACCAGCAGCGGCTCATCTTTGCTGGGAAGCAGCTGGAGGATGGGCGCACCTTGGCTGACTACAACATCCAGAAGGAATCCACTCTTCATCTTGTCCTGCGTCTTAGGGGTGGCATGCAAATCTTTGTCAAGACGCTGACTGGCAAGACAATCACGTTGGAAGTGGAGAGCTCTGACACCGTTGACAATGTGAAGGCCAAGATCCAGGACAAGGAAGGGATTCCTCCAGATCAGCAGAGGCTCATCTTTGCTGGGAAGCAGCTTGAGGACGGGCGCACCTTGGCAGATTACAACATCAAGAAGGAATCCACTCTTCATCTCGTCCTGCGCCTCCGTGGTGGCCGTGTTAACTGAGGTAGTAGGAATGTGTCCTGCTGCAAAGTTATTAAAATTCTATGTGTAGTGTGGACAGACATATCCAGTTCTACTAAGTGGTTCGTCATGTAAACTTTCTATATCCAGTTCTACTAAGTGTTTCGTCGTGTAAACTTTCTATATAACCTGTTGTGTAAACTTTATATATAGCCTGTTGCGTTCGTACTTGGTATCTCTTCAGATGTAACTTTGTTTACTTATGTAAAATCATGCTCCTCGGATGCTTTAGCTTTTGTGTCGATTATTTTGGTCTCTGAAACTCTTTTCTGACGAGGGTATGCTACCGTTTGAGTGAGGGAGTGTAGCTACTATTGCTACAATTTTAACAAATTAGCATATCCATTTGGCTGGGGCCTGTCTGTTCTTCGCGTTTGTGGACTGGACTAATGATGTGCTTGTACGATTTATTTTGTTTGAAACAGACATTAAAAAAAAAAACTGAAGGCAGTTGATTTAGGATGCTCAGCATTTGCGTTAGTTGACTTACGTGATGGGACCACACGGACCACTAGTAACTGTAGGGGATTAATAAAAGTTACATTGATCAGAAAGCAGGTTATATTGATCAGTATATGTTTGAAAGCAGGGAATTTAGGATGCTCAATAAAAGTTACATTGATCTATCCGAAAGCAGGTTATTATATTGATCAGTATATGTCTGAAAGCAGGGAATTTAGGATGCTCGGGCATTTGCGTTTGTTGATTTAACTGATGGGACTATACGAGTAGTAACTTTAGGTGCTTAATAACAAGTTATATTGATCTGTATATCTGTTCAAACCAGACGTCTAGGATAGTAGGATATGTTCATTGTGGCCCGGTCCGTGCTGCGCAGACGTGCAGTGTTCTGGTTTGGAAATGTTTGCTGGAGCCTGGCATTTTACGATTTGTATATTGCAGAAGTGCACCAGCGGTCCTAAATTTGTATCGATGTGTTATTCCGGTCCCTAAACTCACAAATCGATCGTTTATGTCCTCAAACTTGTTCATATGTGTTATCTCGGTCCCTAATCTTGTTCGGCTGTGTCATCCCGGTCCCTAAACTTGCAAATCATCCGTGTAGGTCCTCAAACTTATTCAGTTATGTCATCCCAGTCTCTAAACTTGGTTTTGAGTCCCGTCTAAGTTAAAACAGGATGATATAAAAACTTTATATAAAAAATAATTTATAACTTTTTCATATGAACTCGAATGAAGACAAACTTTATATCAAAATTGAAGCCCTCGACGCGATCTACGACTTTGTAGTTGAAAAGTTTTTGAATTAAAATCATTTAGGGTCCCAAAATATTATTGTATGTTTATAGATTTTAAAATTTAAAATTTAAAATTAAATTTTGGGACACTAAATGACTTCAAACAAAAAACTTTTCAACTACAAAGTTGTAGATCGTATTGAGAACTATAACTTTCATACAAACCATATCAATATCCAAGATTGTTTGATAATTTTAAATTTCAAATTTTAAAATATATAAACATACAATAATATTTTGGGACCCTAAACAGTTTTAATTCAAAAACTTTTCAACTACAAAGTCGTAGATCACATCGAGGGCTACAATTTTGATATAAAGTTTGTCTTCATTCGAGTTCATATGAAAAAATTATGAATTATTTTTTGATATAAAGTTTTTAGATCACCATGTTTTGACCCGATGAGACTCAAAACTAAGTTTAGGGATTCAGATGACACAACTGAACAAGTTTAAGGACCTAAACGGGTGATTTGCAAGTTTAGGGACCGGGATGACACAACCGAACAAGTTTAGGGACCGATATGACACAGATGAACAAGTTTGAGGACATAAACGGTCGATTTGCGAGTTTAGGGACTAGGATAACACAACGGTACAAGTTTAGGGACCGCTGGTACACTTTACTATATATTGTATATTGGGCATGGATTTCATTGAATGCTGATGATAAGTGATCAAAACGATAGCATAAGATTATCTTATTTGTGTGATGCACATGGTTTCCCTTGAACGTAAGGTCGTAAGGAATGTCCCTGCCTGCTTTCGTTGAAAGCAGGACAAACTTGTCATCACTTATTATCAAAGCAGGGAGCTTTGGCCATCAACCAGACCGTCCATGTCGCCCCGTTTTTTTTTCGTCCGTCCGATCTCCCAACGTGCGGTCCAGATGGATTGTAGCCGCTTCAGCGTTCTTGGGCCGCCTCTCACCTATCCGAGCCGCTCCATCGTTTATGTACCGTTGGATCTTCCATCGTGTGGCCATGGTTGTCCGGAGCGGAATCGGCCGCAAGCGGCTTCGCCCGCTCGCGGCCGCTTCCACAGCTTTCCGTAAATTCTCTCGGTGTTGTGCGGCTTACGCTCCCGAGCGGAGCCCATCGATATATACGCCGGCTTCCGATTACGCCTTCCCGATCCTTCCACCGCTCCCTCTTGCGTCCCCATCCGCATCCGTGATCCGCGATCCGCGCCTCTTCCCTCTCCTCAGCTCTCATGGCGGCGGCTAGGGTAGGCCCCCCCCACCGTGGCGGCCAGGCGAGGCCACGGCCCGCGGCCCCCTAGCACGGACGCAGCGCCGACCAGTGAGGCCGCCCACCAAGACGGGCGCCGCTGGTGCGCCCTGCGGCCCGCGGCGGTGCGGCAGAAGCGGGCCGACCGCTCCCCTCGGCACGGTGTGCGATGGCACCGGTGGCCCCCAAGGGCACACCCAGCACGCAGCGGCTCCGGCGTGAGCAGACGCAGGTGAAGGTGGCCTCTCTCCTTGCTCCTCCTCTCTTTCCCTCGCCGATGCCCAGCGTCGATCTGTGCGGTCTGTGGTTGTTTCCTTCTTTGCTGGGTCGATCCGGGGCCTCCATGGCCGGATCCCATCGTTCCCTGCGAGAGCACCCAGCACGGCCAGCCCGGAGTCACGAGCGGCCCCCGACGACGCAGCCACCGAACGACGTCGCCTTGCCCCGCTTCCACGAAACCCTACCTGCCTGTGCTCCACGGCTCCGCTGCTAGTGCCATCTTCGTCGCCGACGGCCACGATGGCGTCTCAGCTCCAAGTCTGGATCTGGCGGATCTCTTGTCTCCTCGTTGATTTATGGGACGCAAGGTATCCAGCTAACCCCACCACACTTCTGCTGGCAAGTGTATCGCTCAATTAAATCTAGGTTTGGCCGCAGGTAGAAGCTGTGAAGGAATCAGTTTGCCGGCTGACAATTTTCTCTGAAATCGTCTAATAGTTGTTTTTGTATTCTGCGTTGTTCTATTTTTTCGGATGTTCTACTACATCCAGTGTGTTCGAACAATCGCTCAGGGTCAAAGATGCAGCTGTCACCTAATCTGCAAGTTCAGTGCAAAAGTCTTGAGAAGTCTAGACAAGCCAGATCAGCAGCGGCGATCATGTTATCTTCAGTTTGTTCCTATTACAAAGTTAAATTAGTATATGTATTACTATATGCATATAATGGGGTATCATTTAGTGGTTCACAATCATCGCTCTCATGTCTGCCTTGTTCCCAGCCTGTAGCATTTGAGCTTGATGTTCCTCCAGAGGACATCTGTCGGTGTTTCGTACAAGCACCGGCAAGTGAATTTATAGTAATGCGCGTTAGGCTCGGATGGTGCGCTAAAGGACACAGGATTTATACTGGTTCGGGCGAAACGTCCCTACGTCCAGTTTGTTGCTGCTTGTGTTATTAGCACCGTAACGATCTGTAGTAAGGGATACAAACTACCGAGAGAGGGACTGGTCCCAAGTCTCTGATCGAAGGATTGAAAGGTGGTCAAGAGCTTTCAGAGCTGCTTGAATGTGTGTGAGTGCGTTCTATTGTTTTTGTCCTCCTTTTTCTTCCATCCCCATGATGGAAGAAGCGCATCCCTTTATAGATGAAGGGCCGACTTTACAAGGGTAAGGGCTCCGGACGCCGACTCTACTTAATCTTGTGGCTCACGTCTCACTGGTCAGGTCCTCCACTCTGATGAGTGCGAAGGAAGATAAGTGTTTACAATGTTGTCGATGTCTCCGTAGGGATGTCGGGTTAGTCATGTAATGCCGCCTGCTGCAGGTATGGGCCGCAAGATGATGGTTTTGACTTATGAGCCTCCCCACCTTGCTCCGCATGCCTTCTCGGGTTCTCATGAGTCCTTGTTGGGAGAATGCGGGGTCGGGGTCCGTGTAACGCCGTGGTCAAGGCCTTCTTTGGGAGGACACGAGGGGTGGGAAAGAAGCGCCGCTCCCTCAGTCCACCGTGGTGGTGACGGAATACCCATCGCTCGTGGAGATAGCAAATCCTTTCCGGAGCGTAGCGGTTGTCGTATATCTTCGTCGGGTTCCGTGTCCCAGAGCTGAAGGCGGCGCCTACAACTCTGAGGTGAGGTGCACGCACTGTAATACCTTTTGGGCTCTGCGGCGCTGGAAGGGTCTAAAGCTTGGCCTGCTCGTTCCTGGCAGTCCTTTTCTCGCCAGGCGTGAGGGTATGGTCGTTGGAGCCATGGTTGACCCGAACGTCTTGTCTCGTCCCTGTACCCATCATTATGAGGGATAGATATCGATCGAGGTATGAGGCTCGTTCAGGGCCGTCGGGTGAGGTGACCCGCCTCCGGGTCATGGGCGAGATGGAATTCATCCTCGGCCCTCGGGCGAGACCGAGCCCGCCCTCAAGGCGTCGGGCGAGGCGGAGTTTATCCCTCGGCCCTCGGGCGAGACCGAGCCCGCCCTATAGGCGTCGGGCGAGACGGAGATTAGCCTTGAGCTTTTGGGGCGAGGCAGGGTTATCCTACAAAGGCGCGGGTAGGTGACCCCGCCCCTCCCGGTCAGGCGAGATGGAATTCATCCCTCGGCCCTCGGGCGAGATCGAGCCCGCCCTCAAGGCGCGCATGGCGGCGGAACCGAACTCCTGTCACTCGAACAAGGGATGACATGGAGCCCTTATGCATCTAGAAGTTTTTCACGTTCGGTGGTCATCGGTTCCACCTTCTGGGGTACCCTGGTATTAGGTCCCCGATAGTAGCCCCCGA